GTGAGTTGATTGTTCCATTCACAGCCTGATGTTCCCTAGTTAGCCATGATGTGGAGTCATGTGAGAGCAACATGTGGAGTCAGACCTTTGGTTTTCACCGCAATCGGGAGAGCAGGGGCGCTCAGGAAAACAAACAAACAAACAAAAAAAATCAACTAGCAGAGAAAGTGTCTTGTCTTTATTTTCGGACTGGACCCTCAATTAGTCATCCTGCAGTCCTGGCTCGCAGGGCCTGGATCAGTGGGCAGGGTCCTTAGGCCTGGGCCCCTCCACCCACGTCCATCTGGACGTCATGGGCACAGTCAGAGCCTGGTGTCTTTCCACGGGGGCCCAGGATGGTTCTTAAACTGGGGCTCCGCCGACGTTCCTGGACTTATGGGGGTTGCCGTTTGGAGCTCTTAGAAGATCAGAACTTTGCTGAGGTTGGAGCAGGCATCAGCCAGGCCCTTGGAGTTTGGAAAATGTTTTTTCCTTTCGGATGTGCTAACACCCTTTCATGTGCCTATTTGATTCTCAGACCATTAGGTCGGTCAGGAAAATAACGAACTCCGCTTCCTCATTTGCTGGGGAGGGGAGAGAGAGGAGGTTGAGAGCACTGGGCTGACTTTTATCCAGGTGGGCCCAGGCAGAAGGGAGCTTCGGCCTCCCTCTTCTCACCCATCACCTCCTCTGTGCCGCCTCTCCTGAGTTTGCCTGCCTGGTGCTCTCTTCTCTCAAAGTTTGGGTGACCTTATGATTATCATTCCTGTTGAGAGCGAGAGGGGTGCTATTCATATTTATTCCAGACCAGGAGACATGAACCAGGGCTAGGGGCAGACGTGGACATGTGGTCACCAGCCTCCGCTCTTACTGTGTAATGAAAGCTCTGCCTCGCAAAGTCATTTAACTGCTGAGCCTCGTCTTCCTCTTCCGTAAAATGAGAATTGAGGTGTACCTGTCCGACTTATTCTTTAGGGCGATTGCCGTGAGGGCCAAGGAAGATCATGTGCAAAGAGCATTTATGAACTTAATGTGAAGATTATTAACAGCCAGAGGCCTGGTGCACGAAAAATGTGCACGTGTAGGGTTCGTAGGCCTGGCTGGTGATCAGGGCTGATCTGTGGGGTGACTGGCGGGGCGATCAGGGCCCCCGCTCACACCTGCCTTGGCTGGCCTGGCACCGCCCACTCACCGGCCCCGCCCCCCTGCCACCTTGGGTGGGGGCCTGCGGGCTGGGGGCAGCTTCTGCATTGAGCATCTTCCCCCGGTGGTCAATGCGTGTCATAGCGACCGGTCGTTCTGCCAGTTGTTCTGCCATTCGGTCGATTTGCATATTAGGGTTTTATATAGATAGATAATAATAAGAGGTGGTACCCACAAGGCGGGGGGGGGGGGTTCTTTCATGGTCAGGCTGTCACTATGCCATCCACATGGATCAGCTGGCCCTAATGTTATAAGCATTTGTCCACATGTAGTGGCTTTTTAAGGAGCAAGATCAAGTCCACCAGCTACTTGCGAGGCGTACACATCATATCTGCTTTCAGCTCTAGTTTCATTCGGTTCCTAGAGATGCTCAAGAGCCTTGGGGCCACCTGGGAGCAGATGGTATCATGGTGTTTACAGATGAGGAAACTGAGGGCCAGAGGGGAAGGGATTCTCCCAAGGTCACACAGCAAAGGTCACAGGGATGAAGCATGAGAGGAACGCTACGGCCTGCGATGAGTCTGTAGGATACAGACTGGGGCTAGCACCAGGCCGTGGCTCAGATGAGCTGGGACCAGACCTACACTGTTTCTCAGGGCTCTCTGTCACTTCTCCGCTGATGCAGATAGAGAACAGGCCCCTAGCATGAGGGATACTGTCCCCCCAGCCCACCTCCTGGCACCCTCAGGGCCCATGCAGGCCTCTGTCCGCCTCCACATATGCACTCTCCCTCCCCTGGTCACCGGCTCCTGGTTAGGCCTCTTTTCATTAACAGAAAGTAAACATGGGAAGCTGACCTTTCCCACTCCCAGGACAAAAGTCAGAAGGGCAGCTGTCTTGTGAGCCCAGAGGCCTCAGAAGGGGTGTCACTCCCCTTCTTGTCCCCTCCACCCTACCCACCCCTGGATGGGGGACAACTGAGGGAATGGGGCTCGGGGAGACTCACCTTCTGTCCTCCCTTTGTTTTAGGAACCTGAGAGCAAGGCACAGACCCTGTGTCTGAGAACTTCACCCCTGGGTGCCCTCCTCAGAGGGAATTGGGAGATCTGATGGGTTTTCTAGTCAAGGCTGGCTCCTCCCGCTCAGGGATAGACTCAGCCTATTCTTTTCCCATTTGGGTGTGGGTCCCTGCTTGGGCAGGAAGGGAAAGGGCAGAAAGAGGAGGGGCTGGTTCTGACCCAAACCCCTAAGAGAGGCTCTCTCTGCCTTCAGACTGGACCCATTCTGAGCTTTGATGGTGCCAGCTGGTCCTTCTAGCCCAGGCTGCAGTGAGGAGCCATCATTGGAGCCAGCAAGAGGATATAGGTGTGCCCAGTGGGCCACCCCCTCGGACCTTTAGCCCATACTTTCCATATTTGTGAAATGATTAGCCCAGTTACTAATGTGTTAGCCCTGCCCAGCCTGGTGTTAACTCTTGTCCTGTGGGAGGGGATGGGCAGAGGGGACTCCGGGGACTGGACAGCTCGTCAGGCCTTGGCCAGGGGTTCCAGGGCGCAGGATCGCAGGTTCCTTCTGCTCCAGGACTCAGGGCAGGCTCTGCCCCCCTCCTTGCCCATTCCTCCTCCGCACCCCATTTTCTTTTCTTTTTAAAAAAAAATATATTTTTATTGATTTCAGAGAGGAAGGGCGAGGGGGAGAGAGAGAGAGAGAAACATTAATGATGAGAGTGAATCTTTGATTGGCTGCCTCCTGCGCGCCCCTCACTGGGGGTCAAGGCCCCAACCCAGGCATGTGGGAATCGAATCCGCGATCTCTTGGTTATTCGGTCGATGCTCAATCACTGAGCCACGCTGGCGGGGCTGCCACCCCATTTTCCACTGGGAGAATCACAGGGCAGGACCCTGGTGGACAGGAAGTGAGAACCAGCTCCTAGGCAAGTGGTCTGAGGCCTGGAGAGAATTCAGGGCCTGGGCCTGCCTGGAATAGGACCAGCTTTTCTCAGTGTCCTGCTGTCTGAGTTTCCTCTGGGGGTGAGGAGGGCTGGTCTGTGTCTCTCTGTCCCACTTCCTCCCCCACACCCAGGCCAGCCCAGCACTCCCGGAACACTCAAACCATGGGCCCTAGCACCCTCCCCACAAGTCTCCTCTCTGACAAGCTAACACACCCAGGGGCCTGCAAGGTGGGGTGTGGGCAGCGTGCCACTGAGAGTGCAGGGAGAAAGCCTTACCGGTAGAACTCCTGGCCCTTGCTCTTTCTCATCCAATATCTTCTTTTATTCGTATTTTTTTGTGTACGTTTTATATTCTACTTTCCATATTTGTAAAATGATACTTGTATTTAATTTATAAACCAGAGGTCATTTGAGAGGGTTGTGCTAAAACCTTTTACATGTTGCAGTCCAAGTACTGGGGCAAGCAGGGGTCAGCAGACTTCTCCCATAAAGGGCCAGAGAGCAAAGACGTTAGGCTTTGTGGGCCATTTGCTTTTACCGCAGCTACTCAGCTCTGCAGTGATAGCGCGAAAGCCGCCACAGATAATAGGGAAACGAATGGGTGTGGCTGTTTCAATAAAACTTTATTTCTGGGCTCTGAAATTTGCATGTCATAGGAAGTTCATGTGTCACACATATTATTCCTCTTGGACCCTCCCCAAGTCCCAACATAAAAAAAAATGAAGTAAATTATTCTTAGCTCACGGACCCTGAGCAAACAGGCTGTGGCCCCGTACTGACCAGTTTGCCGACTTACTAGTGAGCCTGCTTCAGGCTCACCTGGGGAGCTTTCAAAAATGCATAGTCCAGCCCTGGCCTGTTCGGCTCAGTGCATAGAGCATCGGCCTGTGGACTGAACGGTCCTGGGTTCGAGTCCGGTCAAGGGGATATGCCAGTGTTGTGAGCTCGATCCCCAGTAGGGGGTGTGCAGGAGGCAGCCAATCAGTGATTCCCTCTCATCATCGATGTTTCTGTCTCTCTCTCTCCCTCTCCCTTCCTCTCTGAAATCAATAAAAATAGGTTTATTTTAAAAAAGCACAGCCCAGAACCCCAGCCCTGGTTTTGCGGACGCTGTGGGAGGCCCTGGAGCCTGCGTCTGACCAGCGGCACAGGTGGGCTGGGAGCAGCTCACCAGAAGCGCCGACTCTGAGGAGCGCAGCCCTGGGAGGTGTCCGGGGCCTTGGCGTGCTCTTGCTGAGTGGTGGGGCCTGTGACGTCTCCAGGCCTCCTTTGCCCATTTTTGGAATTCAACCAGCGGAGGAATGCATCTCCAGGAAGACGTCGGCCTGGCGTCTCATCTCCCCGGGGGCCGGGGTCCTCAGCAGAGCATTCTTTGGCTCTGGCCTCCACTGCTCATGCCGGTGACAGGCAGAATCCCCTGGTGATGCAGGACACAGGCTCTGGGATTTGTGTGCTCTTGGGCAGTTCTCTCTGCTCTTCAGTTTCCTTGTCTGTTGAAGGGGGACTGTAATACACCCCCCGGGAGGCGCTGACAGGTCAAATGAGCCGCGATGTGGAACCCGCAGCACAGTGCCTGGCACCTAGTAGGTGCTGTCAGCAGAGTGGCTGCTATTGCTGCTCTTCACCAGGTGGAAGCGGGGGAGCCCAGCCCCTGCCACAGGCCATCCACATGTGTCTGGTGCCGCAGTGCACATGGCCCTTCCCATGGTCATCTCATGGCTTCCTCCAGCTACCCCTGGGGGAGACACCCATGTCCCGTTGGAGACTGAGGCCCAGAAAGGTTATGTAGCTCGTGCACCCCCATGAGAGCCTGGTGCTCTCTGCCTGGAGCCCTCGAGTCTCTCTCATCCGGGATCTTGGGTGACCATGGGAGGAGCTTAGGTTGGTTTTCTGTGGGTCCTTTACCCGGTGCTTTCTGCCCTTGCAGATAAAATACCACGAGGAGTTTGAGAAGAGCCGCATGGGCCCCAGTGGGGGTGAGGGCATGGAGCCCGAGCGCCGAGATTCCCAGGACAGCACCAGCTACCGGAGACCCCAGGAGCAGCAGCCTCACCACATCCCGACCGGCGCCCCCGGTGAGCATGGAGCCTGTGGGGTAGAGGACCTGGGGCCGGGCCAGCTACCGGGTGGGGAGAAGCCTCATTTACACACACACATGTGCACACGCACGCACACACACACACACTGTCAGGTCTCATCCCCCCAGGGCATGAGCGCTGGGGCAGGGCCTCTGCTGGGCCCCAGGGTGATGAGGGGGAGCTACCACCCTTGCTGTAGAACAGTGGTTCTCAACCTTCCTAATGCCGCGATCCTTTAATACAGTTCCTCATGTTGTGGGGACCCCCGAATGCATTGTTACAAATTGAACATAATGAAAGCGTAGTGATGAATCAGAAAAAAACAATATGTAATTATATATGTGTTTTCCGATGGCCTTAGGCGACCCCTGTGAAAGGGTCGTTCGACCCCCAAAGGGGTCGCGACCCGCAGGTTGAGAACCGCTGCTGTAGAAAATGCGACACCTACACGTGTGCACACTCAGACTTCGCCTTTGAGAGGTGGGCCTTGAGCAGGCCTGTGGGCTTCTGGGAGGCCCTGGGAGGGGCTGGTTTTGTCAAGACAGTTTCTGAGCCCTGTCTCCTCCCGTCTTGCAGTTTACCAGCAGCCCCAGCAGCAGCAGGTGGCCCCATCCTATGGTGGCTACAAGGAGCCTGCAGCCCCAGTCTCCACGCAGCGCAGCGCCCCGAGCGGGGGCGGGGTGAGTAGCCCCGGCCCAATGGAGAGGTGGGAGGTGGAAGGTGGACGGTTGTGAGGCCTGGGGCAGCCAGAGATGGGTGGGCCTAGGGAAGAACCTAGGTCATAGATTCTTCTTAGAAACCCTGCCCAGCAGGTCTGGCTTTTCCCGGCTTTTGACCCCAGTCTCTACATCACCTGCAGGTGATAGGGATCTCAGCCTCTAGAGCAGAGGGTCAGTGTGGGCTAGTGGGCAGAACCCTGGGCTGGGATAGGGGCCCTGGGCTCCAGCTAGGCCCGTCGCCCCGGGTATCTTACTCCGGCTGCCTGGGAGCACGTGAAGCACCTTTCTGCGCGGGGCCACCCAGACCTGGTGCTTGGTCCCCACTCTTCATGAGGATGACCCCCCTCTCCCCCCGTGTTCTTCAGTTCTCAGCCTGCTCCTTCCTCAGAGGGGCCCTCCCAGACCATCTCATGTCAAGTGGGTCTCCCCTGACATTTCTGTGGAAGGTGGACGGTTGTGAGGCCTGGGGCAGCCACTCTTTCCAACTTAAAACAGTTCTCTGTTGATTAGCTTCTGTCTGTGTCCTCCACTGGACTCGAAGCTCTGTGCAGGCTGCACACCGTCCCTTTGGTTCACTCGCTCTGAGCTGGGCACAAAGCGGCACTTGTCAACTTCGCTGAATACGTGATGAGTAGGAAGTGAGGTGTTCTTACTGGTCCCTTAGAGTTGAGGTTCCTGGGCTGTAAGTCCTGCTGCTCACAGGTGTGGCTGAGCCGCCCTTACTCAGCTCCTGGCTGAGCTCAGCTCTGTTCTGGGTGCCTGGACATTTGAGTAGCTCATGTAGGAGCAGGAGGGACAATACTTAGAGAAATAAAGTAGCCAGTCCTGCACATACTAAGCATGTCCTGGACAGGAGAGATATAGCTCTGAATAAAAGACCACCTTTAGCCCTAACCCGGTTTGGCTCAGTGGATACAGCGTCGGCCTGCGGACTGAAAGGTCCCGGGTTCGATTCTGGCCAAGGGCACGTGCCCAGGCTGAGGGCTCGATCCCCAGTAGAGGGCATGCAGGAGGCAGCCAATCAATGATTCTCTCATCATTGATGTTTCTATCTTTCTCTCCCTCTCCTTTCCTCTCTGAAATCAATAAAAAAAGACCTCCAGTCTGAGATACAAGCAATGAAAGGTCAGATAGTGGCACATGAAGAAAAAGACAGCAGGGTAAGGGGAGAGAGCAGCCAAGTCCTCAATAAAGTGAAGGAGCGAGTGTCCCTCTCCTTTCCTCTCTGAAATCAATAAAAAAAAGACCTCCAGTCTGAGACACAAACACCGAAAGGTCAGATACATGAAGAAAAAGATAGCAGGGTAAGGGGAGAGAGCAGCAAAGTCCTCAATAAAGTGAAGGAGCGAGTAGTGAGCGAGTGGTACAAAGGCCCTGGGGCAGGAATGTGCTAGGAAAGTTCAAGGACCAGCAGGAAGGCTAAGGGGACTAGAGAGGGCAAGAGGGTAGGAGATGAGGTCAGATTATGCAGGGACCTGGGACTGTAAGGCCTTCGGGACTGGTGAGTTATACAGGGTGACGGGTTTGACCTGTGTTTTTCAAAGGTTGCGCTAACCCCTGTTAGGGTAGGAACAGGGAGATGAGTTAGGAGGCTGTTGCAGAACATGGACATAGATGGTGGCTACTCAGCCCAAAAGATACAGGCAGATTGGTAGTTTGAGAGACCAAGGTCACCATGTGAGGGCTGGATGCTCATCCCATAGACGTGGGGGCTAATGGAGTAGGTTTCTGTTGCTTGGGGGGAAAAGTTTGAAATTTGGTGCTAAAAAGGATGGGGACCTTTGAAGGATTTAAAGCCAGGGAGTAACAGGATCAAGTTTGCATTTTGAAAAGTTCCCCTGAAATGACAATGAATGAACAGTTGGAGGGGGCAGACCAGACCAGAGACTGGAAAGAGGTCTGAGCAGGGTCCTGGCAGCGGGGTGGAGCAGTGGACATGGGAGGTCCCCCAGGGACACCTAGTCCTCGACCAATTGGCAATGGGGCCCCACTGCTGGCCCCATGCAGTTCCCAGGGCCTGGCCTGGGGGGCCACAAAGGCTGAGCTGACCTCCAGAGATAAGTCAACTTCAAGGGCAGTAAGGTCAGAGTATGTTAGAATCTTATCCACCTCCAAGACCGCAGTTGGATTTTACGTGCTTTTACTGGACATTTCCTAGAGCTTAAAGAGGAGGATTTGGCTGAAGTTGCAAGGTGGAAATCTCTTGTGTCACCTGGAGATTTTTCTCCCAAGAATAGGTCTTTGTCCTGAGCTTGGGAGTGAAGCCAGACTTATCACAACTTCGAAAAAAGAAGACTGGCGCTCATGATAATGCAGATAATAGCGTACAGGGCATAGCCTATTTTGCAACACTAACTGGCATCGTGTCCATGGGACCTCCCTGCATTCCTGTTTTGAGAGGTGGAGCAGGGCTATTGTCAACTCAGTTTCCTGTCTTGTGCCTGCCTTTATTTTATTTATTATTATTTTTTTAATTCTCACCTGAGGATATGTTGTTATTGATTTTAGAGAGAGAGGAAGGGAGAGGGAGAGAGAAACACCGTTGTGAGAGAGAAGCATAAATTGGCTGCCTCCTGCAACCTGGGTATGTGCCTTGACCGGGAATTGAACCTGTGACCTTCTGGTGTTTAGGGCAGCGCTGTAACCAACTGAGTTACACCGGCCAGGGCGTGCCTGCCTGCCTTTTAGCAGATGCCAAATAGATTGGACACGCTCAGAAAGTGACAGTGAGAAACCCAAGGCAGGGCCCAGCCCTTCCCTGTCTCTGGCTCCCGGGTCCCTGCTCACCCAGGCTCTGCTCCTGGGTCCCGGGCAGTTAGGAAGGAAGGCTGGGCCCAGGGCTGACTGTGCGCCCCGCCCCCCGCAGAAGCGGTACCGCGCTGTGTACGACTACAGCGCCGCGGACGAGGACGAGGTCTCCTTCCAGGATGGGGACACCATCGTCAACGTGCAGCAGATCGATGACGGCTGGATGTACGGGACCGTGGAACGCACCGGTGACACGGGGATGCTGCCGGCCAACTACGTGGAGGCCATCTGAGCCCGCCGGGCCCCGGCCCGCCCCGCCCCATCCTTCAGCGCATTCCACGGCATCGCATCTGTCCTGGGCGTGACCTGTCCACCCGTCAGTGTCTCTGTGTTTAAATCTGCGACAGCTTGTCTCTTCCCAACCTCCTCCAGCTTCTTTTGCCGACCGAAGCCTTGTTCTGCCACTTCCTTGGGCTCCTTCCTCGGGCCGGTTGCCCCCTGGACCGACTTCTTGGTTTTCTCTCTGGGCGGAACAGGTGTGGGCCTTCTGGGAGTGGCCGAGGCCCCTGGGCTGGTCTGGAGTGGGAGGTCCATCGGCTCCCGGGCCTCCGCCTTCTCTCTTTCTCGGCCCCCTCAGACCCTCCTGCCCACCTCCTCACACACCCGACATTCCAGGGCTGGGGTGAGCCCCAGACCCCCAGGACTCCAGGGAGGGGCTCCATGCATTCCCAGGGGTGGAGCCCCACCGCCCTGGCCCCTGGATGGGGACAGGCCGGGGACTGCCACTGTGTGGGCACCAGTAAGAGGGCTTTGCTTCTCAAAGATGGGGCTGCTGACCCTCCGGGGGGTCCCCTCACCACCCTCTCTTTTCTCAGAGACAACGGAGGAGGGTAAAGTGCCCGCCCTGGGGTTCATTCATCCTCCCCACACGTGCTCTCCTCACACTGTGATTTTGCTCTTCTGCCCACGGAGACCCGGTGTGGGCCAGGAGCTCCCTAGGAAGCACGGCTGGGTCACGGTCTGGCCTTCCTTACTTTCGGGACAGCTGCAGGAGCGAAGGGGACAGGCTGTTCTCTCCGCACTCCCACCCCCAGCCCCCAGGAGCCCTGGCTCGCCTCCTTGGCTGGAAGCCGAGGTCCCTGACAGGTGGGGCAGGAAGCCCTGAGATCTGGGCTGGGCGGGCCACTCCTCCCTACTCCTCCAGGGAAGATACCGCCCCTCCCCCTGCCTCCCCCGCCCCCAAGTGCATAGGAACTGCAAAGCCACAGGACCCTCTGCATCTCCAGGACTAGCGTGTGGGGGAAGGAGCGTGTGTGTCTGTAGGAGTGTCAGCTAGTGTGAGCGTGAGCGTGAGCGTGAGTGAGCGAAGGCGCAGGGTGTGGCCTGCAGGAGTCTCTGGGCTTAAGTGAGGGTGCACAGAACTGTTTCCCCCTGATAATTTCCTCAAAACCCACAGTGAGGGGACAAGGGAGGCCCTAGGGGACAGAAGTTCCTTATACTTTCTTTGGAATGAAAATTCCTCCTTCTGTCCCCCAAATGGAGGAAGCCCACCTGCCTCCACTGCAGTGTGCTGGGCGGAGTAAGGGAAGGACTGGAGATGGGTGGGTGCTGATACAGCTGTCTGGGTGGGGTAGGGAGAAGGCTTCGTGCCTCCAGGCATATTCTCTCCCCCATCTCTGCCCTGCGCTGCAGACCAGGGGCCAGAGGACCCTGTGTTACCCACACTGTGGGTGCCTTACTCTGGGGGCTCTGCCCCCCAGGCCTCTCCCTTACTTACCGAAAGCCCCCTTGAGGTGTTAGGAGAGGGTCCCAGGGCTACAAAACTGGAAGCACAGGCCCCGGGACGCGGAAGGGAAGATGGTGCTATCTCCAACCCCTTCTGTCCCTCGCTGGTGGCTGTGACAACCCCTGCCTGGCTTTATTCATCTCTGGGAGTCCACTCAGGCCCCAGCGTTAACATCGTTGCATCCTTGTTCCCTGTGGCGGTGGCTGCAGGCATGATCGCATCCTCTCTTCTTGTGGGTTCAGTTGGGAATATTTAGCCCAGATCAGAGAGCTCAGGAAATGACTGGGGGGGAACAGGAGTGGACCTTTCTGGGGGAGGCCGAGGCTCGGCCCCAGCCAGGTGAGGGTGGATGGAGGGTCTCCCACTGGCCGATTTGGGGGTGAGGGAGCAATATTGGAAACCTGGGGAGGGGCGCCGGTCCATTCCATTTCCTCTTGATCTCAAAGCACAACATGGATTCTGGGACCAAAGGTCGGAGACACATCCTGTTGGAGGACCTGCGGTTGGGAGGGGAGTGAGAGGTGGGAGGGGGCCTGGAGGAGCGAGAAATAGCCTTTTCACTCAGCTTAATTTTCCTTCCAAAACAAGGCGAGCCAGCCACTGGAATCTTGCTGCCCGGCAAGCTGCTCCTCCCGTCCTAAAAATAGGGGACCTTTTTTTATACAACCCACAGAGAGGAGGGGCTGTCACACTGGTGCTGAGGGACCCAGGGGCTGCTGGGAGTCCTTGTTCCTTTCCAGAACCATCCATCCCTAGAAGAGCACAGAACCTGAGGGCTGGGCGGAGGCCCCGGTCTTCTCTTACAGTTCATAGAGGTCTTTTAGCCAATATCCCAGGAAAGAACATCCATCAAAGCTAGAATGTGAATATGACGTTAGTGGACCAATAATTGCAAGAAGCCCAATGGTGAGAAAAGTGAATTCTCTCAACACTGCTTCCTGTTTTCTTCCTCATGTCCCTCCAGGGAAAACTACTTTATTGCTTAATTTCTGCATTTGTTTTCCCCTTCACGTATGCACTTTTGGGCCTTTTTTTTTAATAGCTGGAAAAAAAAATACCACCTCACAAACCTGTATTTAAAAAGAAACAGAAATGACCATGTGAGATTTCCTCTGTCCGAACATTTCATCCGTGTGTGTGGAGCCGTCATTCATCTTTTTATACGGGGGGGTCGTCTCTCCTTGGTTTGTTTGGTCCCCTCCCTCGTGGGCTTGTGCTTGGGATCAAATCCTCTGGCCTGTTATGATTCTGAACGTTTGACTTGGACCACAAGTGAATCTTTCTGGTGACTCAAATAAAAATATAATTTTTACCTGCGGACTTCGTTTTCTCTCTGGCTCTGACGGCTGTGGTGTGTGTGTGTGTCCCTCTGTTTGGGGGCGTTGGCCCGAACCCCTCCTGGAACCCTGCCATCCTTCGGGGAGAGAGACCAGTTTGGAAGCGGTCAGCCTAGAGCGGCAATTTGCCTTGGCACCTACTCCCTGTCGAGAACTCCCACCCGTCTGCCCCTGGCTATATCCCTCTGCCCAATTTGGTGACACTCCCAGGAACTTCCGAGTTCCCATATTCTCTTACTGTCTGACTTGCTTCACTGTGCACCTGTCTCCCCACTAGCCAGTGCACTCACAGGGCAGGTAATGGGTCTAACTTATCTTTAAACCCCCAGTGTTTGCCCAAGGCCAGGCAGAGAGAGGCTCAACAAACATTTTTGAATTAATGAATGAGCTCAGCTGATGGGCCGTTTTAACTCTGCCTGCACCTTGTAGGCACATACTTGAGGAATGAAATGACAGAGAGACTGGGACAGTCTGCAGTGGGATAAGCCAGGGATGAGGCCATCTGTTCGATGGTCTGACAACCCAAAGCACTATTCATGATGCCTTACAACTGTGATCTTTAACACACATGTTTAAATTTGATCTCATTAGCCATGTGAGAGAAAGAACTACCGTGGTGTCCATCTTATAGATGGGGGTTCACTGAAACCCAGAAAGACAGTGGTTTGGAGGAAGTCACAGCTGGGCTGGAGGTCTTAGGACCCCCGATGTGATGCTCACAGTCTCCTGCTACCTTGCTAGGGTGGGCTGTCTACCCAAGCCCTTTGCACGTCTCATTTTAGTATCTCCTGTGCTCTGTTCTTTGCTCCAGGAACCCTGGGTCTAACGCCTGACCAAAGGCCTCCTCTCCTCTGTCGGGCTGAGGAGGGGGCAGTGGTAGAGAAGGAATCCAGACCCTCCCGCCCTGGCTCAGTGCCACCAGTAGCCTCCTGTCCAGCTGTTTGGTGGTGGTGGTGGGGCATTTCCCACTTGGGGCTCAGAGTGAAGGCATTCCCTCGCTTCAGGGTAACAGCAGGGTGGAGAGGAAAAGGGCCTTCGTGAACTGAGCCTGAACTGAGTTTCCTAATGAAGGGAATGGTGACAGGGGAAGGACAGGCCGGGTCAGCAGGGCTGAGCAGTGTGGGCAGCCAGGCGGCAGCGGGTGGGATAATTAAAGATAATACCGACACCTGCTTCTCTGAAGGAGCCGGCTGCCTCGTGTGTTCCCACTAGAAGGGAATGAGTTGGCAGATCTTGCCTCCTGTGGGCCTGGCCCCTTTTGTCAGAGAGCGGAGCCCCCTCTCCCCAGGAGGCTGCTTACCCTGAGCAATTAGAGGGGGCAATCCTTCTGCTTGGGAGGGGACCAGCGTGCCCCCTCCTGGGCACAGGCCAATGGGAGGAGTTTCTAGACCCCCTTCTAGAAGTGGCCTAGCATGAGGAGGGGGGCTATTAATGCTTCACCCCCAGGCCCTCCCAAAGAATTACTTGGGGGTGGAGCCATGGACACTAGGCCTCAGAGATGTCACAGGATTTTTTTTTTAATTTAATGGGAAATAAGACATAAAAAGGCATAAGAGCAACACAATACGTAACTGAGCACCCACTACCCAGCTTAAAAAAATAAAACATCAATTTTTTTCCCTTTCCCCTCAGAAGAAGCCACTTGAACTTGCATTTCTAGGCACAGGGGTGGCCTGAGGATTCTTCGCTGCCCCTCTGGGGTAACAGCACGTGGGACTCTCGGAAGAGGATACAAAAGGGAACAAGAACGTGGGCGATGACCACAGAGAGACGGGCAGAGAGAAGGGGGAGAGGCCTCTGGCGCTCACCCTGTAAATGGAGTGACCTGAGCAAAGTGCCTCACAACCCGAGCCGGGGGGCATTTCAGACTGAGAAGGTGGGCCGGTCTCGGGAGTGTGCAAGCCGAGTTTTAAATCCTGGTCTCTGCCATTTCCAGTGAAACACTGAGACCATCTCTGAGCCTCATCTATAGAAGACCTGTAGGGAGGTTGAAATTACACCATCTGTGCAATATCTGGCAGAGTCTAGAAATCCCACATGAGTTAGCCCCATCCCAGAGGTGCCGGCTGAGACTCACATGAGACCTTTTTCCACGTCCCTCCATAACGGGACCTTTACACCTTGCGAATGGCCCACCCAACTCCCAACCGTTATTCTTCTGAGATAATTTGCTGGGGGCGTGTGAGGAGAAAGGGGAGGCGAAAGGCAGGACGATTCATTCCCAAGGGATCTGGCTAGAGATCAGATCTCCTCCTCCGTCCATATCATGCAGACTCCACTTAGATACAAAGGGGTGGGATTGGGTTCCTGGGGAGAAATCGAGCCTCTTAGGTTCTGCTTGGTCTCAACCCAGCAGTTCCTTGGTTACCCACTCCCGGGCTTTCTGATTGGCTGGCTGTGGTGTATGGAGGGGCGGGGTAAAGTAAGCTGCTGATGGAATTGCAGCATCCCTTAGTTCCCGGCCCTGGAAGGGGGAGGGGGGAAACGAGGGCTGAGCAGTGGAGGGAGGAGGGAGCCATTTCTCTCCACTGACTGCAACCTCCGTGCTCACAGCTCACATTTCCCTGCAATCCAGAGGCCTCCTCGGCCAAGGACTCCATCATGCTGGATATTTTCATTCTGATGTTCTTTGCCATCATAGGCCTGGTCATTCTCTCCTACATTATCTATCTGCTCTAGTGCCTGCAGCTGCGGAGCCCACAGGAGAACAGCTCAGGGGAGAAGGATGAAGCTGACTGGCCGAGCATCCTGCTTGCTGACGCACCGCTGGATTTTTGCTTCTGGTCATTATTTCGGGTATTGATTCAAAAACAAAATTAAGAGAGATCTTGTTTTTGTATTTTCCCCCCTCGGATGCATTGATGTAGCATTTCTCAGACCACTCTGAGAAGAATAAGAAATGCCAACTTCTTTCTTTGCGACCTCATTGAAAATAGGAGTAAAAAAAAAAAAAGAAACCCACCCTGTGAAGGATTTTTAGGTAGAATGAGTTGGGAGTGGTGTGCATGGTGGGAGGGACTATAATTTTGTAGTTTTTTTCCTTCAAGTTGCTCAAACTCCAAGTTGTCCGTTCTCTTCCGGTAATTAAAGGTTAAAAACACATCATTATATGCCAGCAGCGTGGTTTACAATTATGCTTGCACAATTGCATTAATGAGTGACTCATTCTCACTTGAGGATGAGATAGGAAATGAAATTCACTGAGGAGTGGGGTTTGGGGGGAAAGGAGAGAGGAACTCCTTTTTCTTTCCTTAGTCCCCAAAGACTAAGTACAAGGAACTGAGACCTTTGCTGCCATTCCCATCTGAACCTTGTTGTTTCTGGGTTTCCCACAGTTCCTGGTCTCCAGCCCAACAAGAGGCCTCTTATCAACAGCAGCTGTCCTGCCGCCCAACAGACCTCCTCCAGAGCCTTCCGGATATGGCTAACCCCTGTCAAGCAAGGGACTTTTTGAGTTCAGAGTCTGAGGCACTCGGCTGGGACAGTAGGAATTCATGGCATGGCTGGCAGGTGTGCGTGCTTTTGAGCTATAAACTGAAAAGGACACAGCTGAAATGTAGACTTGCTAAAATGCTCATGGAGAACTTCTCAAAATTCATTTTGATAGGATAGCCTTTCCTTGGGTCTTTTCTTTCCCTCACACGAAGGTGTTCCTTTGTTAAGTCCAAGACCACATTGTCTCTCGTGACCGAGTCACTTTATCACTGTCTATGGATTGTACAATCTGGGGTTGTGCGGTTTCCTTTGACGTAGTCTCTGGCCAGAAGGAACTTGTCATTCGAGCTTTTAAGATTTACTTTCCCCACTCCCCACCCTACCACTTGCGCTCCAGCTTCCCATTTAAAGAGAGAAACAGTTGGTTCTATAGTTCTCATTCTTTGTGCTTGGCTGAGTCATAAATTATTGAAACAAGATGGCTATGCTTGTTATTTGGGAGAAATCTCTCTCTTACTGCAAAGTAAATGCTTTTTTAAGTTGTCAAATGTTCCTTTTCTGGAAAAAACCTTTCAACGTATTTTCTGTCCCATTAAGCGACCCCATATATTTTGGGGTCCAGAAAAGAGTTTGAAAAATTCATCATAATTGTTTTACATTTGATTTTTTAGCTTAAAAATAAACAAGAAAGATGAACTTAATAGTTTTTACCCATAACATTGTGTTCCATTTCCATGTTTTAAAAAGAAATAAAATTGAGGCAGTATACTATAATGTCAGTTAAAATGAAAAACTTGCATTTTAGAATTCTGGCCAAGAAAAAACACTGTTCTAGAAGCTTTTTGTCTTGGCAACAAATTATGTGACTTTCAATAAGTCATTGAACCTTTCAGGGTTTCATTTTATTCCTACAAATGGAAGCAATGGACTAGAAAATTGTTAATATCCACTTTAAAGTTCTACAATTCTAGGATGCATTATCTTTGAAAACTACATCTTTGAGAACAGAAATCCCATGAAAAAAACTCTTAATAGTTACCAGTAGTCCACTTTACTGCTCTCCCCAAATGACATTTTATGATGAAAACTCAACTACAAGACTTTTTTGGCACACTGTGAGGGGAAAAAATGACTATTTTTTACCCCAAACATATATCAGTGATACTTTGCCTAAGCTGTTTACATACTACATGGTGGTATGTAACAAAAATAGGTAATCTGACAGACACACCAATGCAAAAGCCTCTCTCTGAACATTAATACATTCAGGAATGATCTTTAGTTATCTGTGGAGTCCTTGACATGACATTTCCCAGTAAAACATTCCTCTGACTCTTTGGCATAGCTTTTCTTCTTCGAGTCAATATAGCAGCTCTATGTCCTTACCTAGGTAATTAGGGAAGTGTCAGTATTTTGGAGGGGTCCAAGTAACACAGTTAATTATTGTGGTCTAATCTTCATGGTATAGTCTCTAACCAAGCTCGCTCTGAAGTTTATGAGGTCAAGGCTCTTTAGTCTGTATTCATACAAAGTTGAAGTGACTAATCAATTCAGTGAAAACAATCAGCCAATTTTCAGTTATATACCAGTGATATATACCACTGGCACTGGGCACAATATAAGGACAGAAAGATTATCCATATTTTCAGTTACTTGTGAAATAATTACATTTTGGAAGAAATTTTATGACTTTGTGCTTATATTCATCCTATAATAATGCCAGTTTATAACAGTGTTTTATAGTGTTCATCATTTTGATAATTTTTTAAAATTTCATATTTAAACTTTTTGTATATAAAACACTGGAAAACATTACTTCTGTAATATAAGGTTTTGTTTTAATCCTCATCCGAGGATAGTCTTCCATTGAATTTTTAGAATGAGTGGAAGAGGGAAAGACAGAGAAATATTGATATGAGAGAAACACACTGATTGGTTGCCTCCTGCTTGAGGCCCTACCAGGGCCCTGGCCGGGGAGAAGCCTGCAACCAAAGTACATGCCCTTGACCAGAATCAAACCTGGGACCCTTTGGTCCACAGGCTGATGCTCTATCCACTAAGCCAAACCAGCTAAAGCTGTAATACAAGGTTTTGGATAAATTTTACAAATCTGTCATAGGGCAATCATGTCCTATGAAATGGGGATTATACTTGGCCCACACCAATGCAATAAAAACATCTCTAAATAATTGTAGATTACTTAGAAAAAAATTAATGTGGCATAATGCTAAGAATTATTACACTAATACCTGCTTTCTTGATTAAAAATAAGGGGTTTGTATGGAAAAGGAATGTATTTTATTTTAGGAGAAAGGATATACTTTGGGAAACAAATAATGGAAAGATAAATGTTACTAAGCTCGAATCACCTAAGACTCATTGCTCTGGGTATATGGAATCAAATCCAAATTTTCAGAGTTTGAAGCTTAGCATGACATTAATTTATTAACTTTCAGAAAATGTTTGCTTTTAAGAGGCTTAATATTAGCATTATTCAAACTTCAAAATCCCTTGAGTATCATTTTAATTTAAATTATTTAAAAATAATGGGAATTTCCCTTAATAGAATACTAAAGAATAGTTGAAAGGAAAAATTATCTTTGTAAATTACATACTTTGCCTTTATCAACCTCTAAATGTTTGTTACAATGGCCTCTTCTAAGTTAGTTTTGCTCTCATCTATTTTAAACAAAGATAAAAGCAAAGTCATATATAAAGGGGGAAACAGAAAAAGTCATTGACACAACTTCCATTATCAACTCAAACATACTAAGGAAGACATTTAGAAATAGTTAACAACTTTTTGTTCTTAGAAAAACACTGCAAGATCTTGTAGTCATGGGAAATAACAGGTAATACACAATACTTAATTACATATTTTGTTTTTTGAAATTAGTATTAAACTCTGATAATTGTAGCATATCTATTTTAGCAGCAATTGAAATATTAATTGGTTGGGAATTTGGTATCTGAATTAGATAACAGAGTAGTATAGAATACTGTTGTAGTTACAGATTATTATACAATTTATGAATTGTTGCTAGCAAATGAAATTATTTAATTTATATACTATAATATTAAGCATATACATATACATAAATATATAGCTAATTAAACATTATTTTATGTTAAGACATTTATATTTTGATCATGGTAGAGCTTTAACAGCTTCAATAAAAACTAGTTCCTCCACAAAAAATAATTTAAAGGAATTTATACATTCAATGACTTGCATAATGACAAACTCTGGACAACTTAGAAATGTTTCTAATTTTATTTTTATTTTATTAATATAAATAAATAAATTAAATAAAAATGAACAAATATTAAATATTTACGTATCAAAGACATTTTACCATAAACACAATACTTTAAAAATAACAATCATACTTTTTAGTTTGTGCACCTTGAAGCAATGATCTTAGAATACCTATAAGCATTTATTTTGTTTTTAAAAGGCTTTCAAGGGTTAAACTAAGTTTGTTTTTTTAAAGTCTCTAATTACTTAAAGAGTTTTCTGGAGTTATATTTGCTTTCTTGATGAAAAAAAAAAAGTCTTCTTAGTCCTTTGGCACTTTTTTTTTAACCTAGAGAAGACTGTCCAACTATATTTGAGATCATCTTTCTTATTCTAGTAATGTTTCAATAAACCAAGGAGCCTATGTCCACAGCCTGATTTCTTACAGGGTTCACAGCTGCCTGCTAATGGAATTGGTAAAGAAGTTACATTGCTAGTAAGGTATTCAATGACATATGAGGCTCTTATAGCAGCTTTGTGTTTTAATCCTTCACAATATTTATTGACATAAATATTTATAATCATATAATTCAGTACTATTCACTTAAAGAGGTTAACTCAGATAATAACCACACAAAGATTCATGTTTGTTTTTTGCTGACATAAGATGGTTCCTCCACTTGTACCTTCTGCTGGGCACATCACACTTGCTCTAATTTCCAAAGGTGAATAATTATCATGGCAATAAAATCTTTGTTATTAACAAAACAACTGGAAGCATGAACTAAGTTATCAGAGGATGGGAAAGGTGTGAAATAGGTGCCTATTGTTCATGCTATGGAGAGCAGCCTTGAACTCTTAAATGCCTGAAAGGCTTCCCAGGTACAGTAATTTACTGCTGGGATTGTGAAAACAATAAAGTTGAGGAGTCAGAAGGGCATGAGAAGGAATTCTCCAAAAAAGTGTTAAGAATAGATGTTTTAGCCAGCCTGGTATGGCTCAGGGGTTGAGCATCGACCCAGGAACCAGGTGGTCACTGGTCACTTGCCTGGGTTGCTGGGCTTGATCCCCAGTGGGGTGCATGCAGGAGGCAGCTGATTGATGATGTTCCTCTCTCATCTCTGTTTCTATCTCTTTATCCCTCTCCCTTCCTCTCTCTCTCTCTCAAAACAAAATCAATAAAGACATATTAAAAGAATAGGTGTTTTATGGTTTCATAAGGTACAGAGTATTTATCACAAGAAATAAACTTTAAATTAGTGTCTAAGAAATGTGGCATCATTAGTTTGTTATTAGTACTATTATGGTGTCGTGTGTGTGTGTGTGTGTGTGTGTGTGTGTGTGTGTGTGTTTAGAAACAATAGTAAAGTTAAATGTAATGCTGTCATTGAACTTTTTGGGCTTGCCTTCTAGTGGAAGTAAAAATCATCCTACAAATAAAAGTCAAAGAATTCTGAGGAAATCACTACCAAAAGGAAAAAAAGAGCTAGAAGCACAGGCTTATCTTCTAATTCAGAAAAAAAGTATAGGATAAATGAATGATTTGAATTGCTAGTATTGTTATGTTATTATGACTGTTCTAGAGTCAGCTAGAAGTGAACAATCTCCTAACATCTTTAGGCTATTCATTTTGCACATGCACCTTTTTTGTGGCAATATGATTGCATATACCATCACTTAAACATCAATATTAATGATAATACATACATATATGCTTTTACAATTTAGCCTCCCACTTCAAAATTTGATATCACACTTTATTCCTAATGACAAATATATTCAGCAAAAAACTGGATTGCTGTTTAGCTGGGCTCGGGCTTCATTCACCCTTTGGAAAGATAACCACCATCTACCTTACTCATGTAGACTTACTGCAGCCTGGTTTCTCTGTTACAATAAAATTACTGTTGACCCAAAAAGTAAAAAACAAAAAACACAATAAAAAAAACCCCACTGGATTGCTGAATTGAGGAAACTGCAAATTTTGTCTCAAAAGTTATTTTTATCTATTGATAATTGAATGAAGAATTTTTCTATTTACTTTTTATTGGTAGCAAGATGATATCATTTATCTACTGTACCCAAAGAATGAATCAGATTTTTTATGTCCCAAATTTCTGGGGACGGTGAGACAATGACCTCACAATTATCGAGAATAATACAATAATGTTTTTTTCAAATTTTACAGCAGCAGTCATGTCAAGTGTGTGATGAGATTCAAAATCCAGGTCAAAATCTTTTAAATTAAGCCATTCTTCTTTTGTAAACTTCTGAAAATAACTGCTGTAGAGACTTAGGTAATTCAAGGAACACAAGGAAACTTCACAATGCGAAATTGCTTCTCTAAGAGAATGAAACTTAACATCTATGTAGTAAACTATTTAAAATATTCACTATTTATATTAAAATTTTTACTTTCTTTCCTTCATTTTTCTTCTCTACCCCCCCCCCAAATAATCTAATGGAGTATATTCTCAACTTGGAATTACTAATATTTTGATAAATAAATGGGTTAGGTTTTCCAAAGCATGTAAGAGAAAAAGAGTGAGAGAGAAACAAAAAAGCTAATTAAAATGTTTTGTACTCTGGTATCTGCCAACTTTTAATCTTCATAATTTAGTGGTGAACTGGAAGGAAGAAAACGAAATTAGAGGAAGAAAATGAAACTAGGATAAAAGCAAGGACTTGTTTTTTTGCATAAATATGTAAATGCTAAACTCTGGAGAAATAATTCCTGCAACCGATGGAATTGCAGTCCAACAATCCATCAAAGAAAGGCAGTTAGTTTCTGACTATCCATAAAAGAAGGTTAAGTGCTTATGCTACTGAAATATAGTAAAATCTTGTTATCAAAATTTACATTTTCTCCACAAATTTCACTCTTCCTCAATCTTATTAAATCTCTTACTGAACCCCACTTGCCAAATACTTGAGAATTTTCCACAATTTCTATCCTACTTCTGCAGGTAATTTCTATATCGTCTAGTTATTTCTCCCCTTTATCAGCTGAAGAGGTGAGTTAAATCAAGGGCTTAGAAAAAGAAAGCCAGTGTCTGAAAAGTCGAGTGGGAAACGTTGTGTGTTCAACAGAAGTAAAATGATCAAACCCAAGGAGAAGAAAATGGAAAATCCAGGAGAGTTCCGGCATTATTTCAGCCTCATTAGGCGCTATTGTTTTCTACTTTAATAGTAAAAGTGATGCTAGTCAGACTGAAATAGTCCTGGAGCTTCTTAGAATTCATTTACTTGAGTGAAGAAAAACCCCACTCCTGGGCTGCTTTAACATTCATGCTTCCAGTTTCTTCAAGTTCTACTTTTCAAGACAGGGAGAAAAGCTTTAGGAGGAAGTGCAAATTATTTGTGCATATTGTGCTGGCATCAGAATAGGTACTTTTCTTTCATTTTATATTTTCCCTTATTTGCAACATTTTACTCTAATCCCCAGAAATAAAATATGATTTGTATTAAAACACTATATACCCCTCTCTCTTTATAGACTTTTTGTATGATTTGTCTTAAAGAAACATATATATTTGTGTATATGTACATATATACATATTTATGGGTATGTATATACATATACACACATACTTCCTTTGGTTTTTGATCTGTTCATACAAAACACGAACAAAATATAATGTTCTTTGTAACTATATGCCAACAAGGTGGTTTAAAATGTGATTTATATCTGCACATTCCAAAACATCATATTGCAAACCTTCACAAAACATTCTAGGCTAGGTCTACACAATCTAAGCACAGTGAACAGATACATACTAAAGTTGGGTCTGCTCAACTATAAAAGAAAATTTTCTCTTGCTTCAAAGACCCATACATACAGGCTGGCCGGCCCCAGACTCTTGGAGACTAAATTTTGGTGTGAGGTTTATAAATTCTGGAAGAGGCACAGCTTGTTTTCCAGAGAAATCTCAATATATTCTTGGGTTTGCCTATAATTTTTATATTAATAATGATATAAGAAGTTGCCACTAAAATTCTGTGCAACTTTAGAATTACTTGGGTGAAAAAAAGTTCTTTGGGTGCTATTTTTTGATTGTGGAAAGTAGCATTCTTCTCATTGTTAGTTCAGTGAGGTAGTCTCTAAATGCACGGCTTTCTGAGTATTTAGGTAGAGATAGAATTGATGGTCAAATACAGGACCTCCTTATGGAAGTTAGCTTGAGCATGCACAAGATGGAACAAATTCAAAAAGATTCTGTCCTCTTCATCTCGGTCTCCTATATGCCATACACAGGAATGGACAGTGGGGGGAAAAAATGACAGTTAAGTTTTAAAATATATGATCTATTTAAAACATAAGATGTCCAAATTTTTTCTAGCAATATGTAACAGAAGACTAGTTATTGATCTTTATTTAATCAGATGTTAACCATTGAGAGCATGGAATTCTGTAACAGCACTGAATTAGAAGTCAGAAGAAAAGGATGCTGGTCCATGTTACTTTTAACTTTATGACCGAGGGTAAGTCAGATATTCTCTAAGCTTTAGTTTTTTCATCTATAAAATAGGGTTAATTATCATGTTGGCTACCTAATAAAACTGTAAAAAATAAACATTAAAACTATATAAATACAGGATATTATGATGAGTATGATAGTTGATTAGTGAGCAAGTTAAAATTTTTTGTTGTGCAGAATAGAAATTGGATCCTTTCAGAGCAGACTCTTTGACTTTGTTTTCCATTAAAACTAATATCAGATTTAAAAAGTGACAAAACCAGAAACTAAATATATCTCATGGAAAAACAAACCAAATTATCTACTCCTTCTATTCTTGGTTTAGAACAGTGGTTCTCAACCTGTGGGTCGCGACACCTTTGGTGGTCAAACGACCCTTTCACAGGGGTTGCCTAAGACCATCCTGCATATCAGATATTTACATTACGATTCATAACAGTAGCAACATTACAGTTATGAAGTAGCAACGAAAATAATTTTATGGTTGGGTCACAACATGAGGAACTGTATTTAAATGGCCAGAAGGTTGAGAACCACTGGTTTAGAAATAAAAGTCTATACAGAATTATCCCTGTCTCAAGTGGAGACTCGAATGCATTTTATTCACACCTGTGCACCATCTACATGCATACTCACCAGACATAATTGACTGCAGCATTTCCATTATAATACATGCAAATGCATTTGCCACATTCTGCAGGAAGTTGTTTTTTTCAACTGAGGTACTAAAGACTTTACAGACTTTTTGCATCATTTTAACTGCCCAGTCCATGCAGTATAGTTCTTTCTCGCACACCTGATTTAGACATACAAAGCATTATGGAATATCTTCATTTAAAGAAAGCTATGCATGCCCTAACCGGTTTGGCTCAGTGGATAGAGCGTCGGCCTGCGAACTGAAAGGTCCCAGGTTTGATTCCGGTCAAGGGCATGTACCTTGGTTGGGGGCACATCCCCAGTAGGAGGTGTGCAGGAGGCAGCTGATCGATGTTTCTCTTTCATTGATGTTTCTGACTCTCTCTCTCTCTCCCTTCCTCTCTGTAAAAAATCAACAAAATATATTTAAAAAAACAATCTAAAAAAAATAAAGAAAGCTATACAATTTGAAAATTGTATTAACTATGATGGTTTATGATTTTTTAAAATATATTTTATTGATATTTTACAGAGTGGAAGGGAGAGGGATAGAGAGCTAGAAACATCGATGAGAGAGAAACATCGATCAGCTGCCTCCTGCACACCTCCCACCGGGGATGTGCCCGCAACCAAGGTACATGCCCTTGACCGGAATCGAACCCGGGACCCTTCAGTCCACAGGCCAACGCTCTATCCACTGAGCCAAACCAGTCAGGGCGATGGTTTATGATTTTATATAATTTATTACACATGGCATTATATTGAGTCTATAAGTGAGAAATGTTTCTATATCTAACATTCCTTTGCTTTCAAATGAAAACTCTGGTTCAAGATTATCATAGAATATATTTAAAAATTTATATATATTGTTAGTCCTCATCCAAGGGTATTTTTCCATTGATTTTTAGGGAGACTGGAAGAGAGAGAGAAAGGCAGAGAGAAACATCGGTGTGAGAGGAACACATTAATTGGTTGCCTCCTGCACACCTGATCAGGGCCTGGGCCAGGGAGGAGCCTGCAACAAAGGTACGTGGCCTTGACCAGAATCAAACCCAGGACCCTTTGGTCCACAGGCCAACGTCTATCCACTGAGCCAAACTGGCTAGGGCAATTTACTTTTCAATTACAGTTTACATTTAACATTATTCGGTATTAGTTTCATTATGTACAGCATAGTAGTTAGAAAGTCATGTACTCACTGGTCCCATACATAGTTATATTATTAATAGACTATATGCTCTATGTTGTAGTCTACATATCTGTGACTATTCTGTAACTACCAATTTGTACTTCTTAATCCCTTCAATCATTTTTACACAGACCAACTGTCAGTCTGTTCTCTGTATCTTATCATAGAATATTATTAATGTAAGAACTAATATTGAAAACAATTATTATTTTTATGGAAAATAAGACTTCTGCCCATTCACTCATGCAATAGATATTGATTGAGCACATGCTAAGACGTGGAAATACTATGATAAGCCATAAAGATGGGGCTTCTATTTTGAAGAAGTCTAATCAGGGTGACAGACAAACAAGAAATTTCAATAGGCAAGAGAACTCTATAGTATTATCAACTTTCCATCTTGAAAGTTATAGGAACTATTTATCTCTCTATTGTTTAAAAGATAAATATTTAAAGAAAAGACTACATGTTAATAGTTAAAACTGAAAAAAAAAAGGTTTACTTACTAACATTCTAAATGGCCATATTAACACATAGCCAAATAATATACAGCATGGAAATAAACTTTATAGTAGTGTCACTAAATAATATTAATCTGACAGGAAAGATGTATTGCCTACTTATGTATAAGGAATGGTACAAAGCACTATGAAAAGCATGTGACATAGTCCTGGATTTCAAAGAACTTGCAATCTGTTTTGGGAGATAACTTACCACTCACATAAAAAGGCTTAAGAACACTAGGTAAATGAAGATAAAGAGAAGACAAATTTGAGGCAATTTAGGGAAAATTAATGATCAGAGTTGAGATGGAATCAGGAAAGGCTTTCTGGAAAAGGCTTCTTCACCCAGTGACTTCCTCTCCATTCTGTTTGCTATGGTGCTGTCAAAGTGACCGTTTAAAAACTTGAAACTGATCACATCACTCCCCTTCCTAAAACTTTTCAGCAGCTCCCTGTTAGAGGATGTGTTCAAGCTCCACAGAAAGTCTACCAGGCCCTTCATTACCTAGCCTTTCCCTTTCTGTCTAATCACGCTTCCTCCTCTTCCTCTTCTTTACATTTTACCCTTCAGAAATACTACTGAGCTACTTACAGTCCTGTGAATATAGCCATGCAATTCTCTTTCTCTTCCTCTCTCTTTTGGAGAGAAACTGTTTAATTATTAAAATAAATACTTATATTGAAATTACAGTTAATTTAGTAGCTTTAGTCACATTTTTAAAAGAGCCACAGAGGTTTCATACATGTTTTAAGCAGTTGAGTTGGTAATGACCCTGTCTCCATTTCCTAGGAAATGAATTATATTCAATTATTCCTCACAACAGCCAATTTGAGATTACTCCATTGCTTTTGAAGCACTGGTTGAGCTGGCATCTGCGATGGTAGCCAAATAAGTGATTTGCCCTCTCTATCTGCCTTGTGAACTTCTATTCATTTTTTAAAATAAATTTGGCTTGAGAAAGCCCTCACTATGCTCTACTTTCATCCATATCGGCTCCTCTTTGCTACCTCTGATTGTATCTTTCTGCATATATAGTTTTGCACTTATCTCACTGAATTTATTTATGTATACCTTAATATCACTTAAAACACTAAAAGCAGCTTTCTGTCAGAGAACTGTTTTATGAATTTCCATAGTCCTAGAATCTCACATAATGTATGGTCTATAGTAAAAACTCAATTTTTCTTAAATGAATATTAAATATATTTTTAAATGTTTTGTTTTGAAAAACATTTTAACTATAGAAAGTAGAGAGAATAGTATAATGAACCCCATGTATCCACTTTCCAGCTTGCCAATCTTGTTTCACCTTTACCTCCATTCACTACCACATCCTCTCCCTGCTGTCCATTGATTATTCTGAAGCAAATCAAATAGAGTACTTTATTTTTTATTTATTTTTATTTAATTTTATTGATTTCAGAGAGGAAGGGAGAGGGAGAGAGAGAGGAAGAGGAAGAGGGAGAGGGAGAGGGAGAGAGAGAGAGGGAGAGAGAGCGAGACATCAATGATGAGAGAGAATCATGGATTGGCTGCCTCCTGCACGCCACACACCGGGGATCGAGCCACAACCCAGGCATGTGCCCTGACCAGGAATTGAACCCAGGACCCCTCAGTCCGCAAGCCAATGCTCTATCCACTGAACCACATCGGCCAGGGCAAGTACTTTATTTTTTAATAGAATTTTTGAAAAAAGAATATAACTTTCAGAGCTGTATGATGACAATCTAGACATAAAGCGGGGAGAAGTTAATACAGAGAGTAATTCCAAATATGATAGCTTATTACTATTTACTTTTTGTTAATCCTCACCCAAGGATATTTTTCCATTGTTTTTTTTTTTTTAGAGTGGGGGGAAGGGAGGGGGG